TTTCAGCTGATGACGGTAAAAAAAATAATAACTAAAACAGAGATAGGAAAACATACTTTGTTTCAAAATTATAACTAAAAATAGCTTGCCTGATATTTATTAAGCTTAGCTTAATACAACAAAGAGCAAAAAGTCAGTAGAAGCATTTTGATTCGTCAAAAGTCTAAGTAGAGAAGACATGCCTGTATTGAATCCATTGCTAGGTCAGCTGCTAGGAAGGTTGGTTGACTATGTCGTGCTAGACGATTTTTCTCTCCAGACTCTCTCTTGCATATCTATAAGTCTACTATTCGTCCATGCTTTGAATATTGCTGCCACATATGATCCGTTGCTATTGTTATTTATCGAGAGTTCCTTGATAAAATCCAAATAGAATCAGCAATATTATTGGCCCCGATCTGGCATATCTGCTTCAGTCATTTTCCCACCGCTATAAGGTTACCGCTCTTTGCCTTTTCCATAAATGTCGATAAGAGAATTTGAGTGGATTAAAATAAAAATAGACATATGCCCAGATTATTCAACAAAACATGCTTATATATATATATATATATATATATATATATATATATATATATATATATATATAAGAACCAATCTTTCACTAGTACAATTTTGTGTAAACAAAACCGACAAGGAATATTTAATTTTTTGTTTAACTTTCTTGTTTATGTCCAATGCCACGTACATTTTCATCAAGTTTGTAGCAGTCTGTCAGAATGTGTTATTTGGGCAGGTAGATCTGTCATTTACTAAATACATTACAACGACAGTTCCCAAGTTGAAGGAGCCTTAACTTCCTTTAGGGTTCCTGGTTTTTTTTTTTATGCTAAGGTCCTAATCATATATATATATATATATATATATATATATATATATATATATATATATATATATATATATATATCCGATGCAATGAGAACGAAAGTAATATATAAATTCTAACGTTCACAGCATTAATCCAAAAGAAGGCTCGATACCGATCGATAGTAGAGCTATGATTATTTATTATAATTTTATCAAATAAACAAAAACAGTTTACTCACTACAAAGATGCAACTTCGGCCTCATCCAATGGGTCGGCACTACGGAAGTGATTGATTGGTTTAAAAGCCTCAATAACAAAAACAACAGTACCTTCATCCAATTTGATATCGTGGACTTCTATCCATCCATATCGAAAAACCTTTTCGAAACGGCTTTGGAGTTTGCCACGTTTTACTCCAAGATTTTTAAGGTTTAAATCGACATCATTCTAAATTACAGAAAATCAATTATAATCCACAAAAACGAACAGTAGATAAAAAATCAGGTGAAAACTTTGATGTATCGATGGGGTCGTTGGATTCTGCTGAGTCATCGAACTTTCGGACTATTTTATACAATTTCATTGCTCATAATGAAAATAGTTTAAATAATATAGGGATTTATAGGGGCGATAGCTTGATGATAGTAAATAATTCTACCGGTGCAAGGTTGAAAAGTTGAGGAAATGGATTTATACAGTTTTTAAATCTTTACACCTCAAGGTTAAAATTAATTCTAACATAAAACCAGTAGACTTCTTAAATGTCACCTTAAACTTAACCCTAAATAATTTCCAACCCTTCTTGAAAAATAATGCTAATCCCATTTATATAAATTCTAATTCCAATCACTCAACGCCACTTATTAAGCATATCCCATCATCTGTTAAACGTCGTATCAACACTCTTCTAACAAGGAAATATTTGATAAGCACAAAATTCTATAACAAAATCCTTACCGATAGTGGTTACAGATCTTCCGAAATTAAATATATAGAAAATTATAGTTACTCTAAAAAAACAATAGAGGAAGGAAAATAATTTGGTATACACCTCCCTTCAATAAATTAGCCCGTACCAAATTTGGACACAAATTCTTAAATCTAATTAACAAACTCTTTCGTACGAAGAGTAAATTAAGTCAAATCTTCAATACCCTAAAAATTAGTTGTAGCTGTTCTAGGAATCTAGATAAAATTATTAAATCACACAACAATAGAATACTGAAACTTTATGACGATAATAAACGCAACTCAAACACGAATTCTAATACACCACAAGAAAAAGAGCTATGTAATTGCAGAATCCCCAATCGATGTCCCTTATTAAACAAGTGCTTAACGAAATCCATAGTGTGCATGAACTATATCTCATCAAATGAGAACCCTAGAGATATTTAGCTGTGTGTGGGATCAACTAGAAGACCTTTTAAGGATAGATATTACAATCGTATAAACTCCTTTACAAATGCAGGCAAACGCAATATGACAATATGACATCACTTTCGAAATATTTTTTGGAAACTGAAGGAGGAAGGAAAAAAACCTAAGGTTAAATAGAAAATCCTAAAACAAGCCAGAACTTACAATTCTCTGAACGAACCTAGCTTTTTATGTTTGCAGAAGAAAATATGTCTTATTGAACTTTTGAACAAAAACCAATTATTAAACCAAAGATATGAAACCACTGTTTGTTGTAGACATATTAATGATCTAACATTACAATCTTGTTAAATTCTTAATTCCATAACTCTAAACGTTTAAAATTATAACTCACATCCTTTGATATACTTCCTACCATCTTATGTAACTCTCTACTATTCTATCTTAGATTATGATTCTTAAAATATATTTTTGCATATATATTACTAGTAATACTTGCAGATAAATTGTTTTACACCCGTACTTATTCTACACGTTATACTGTCCGAGAATAGGTCAAAATTAGATTATAAAAGGAAGCATAAAAACTCCAAGTTGTGCAATCAATGTAAGTTATTATGTATATGTCTTGATATATATTAAATAGCTATGTTATTTAACATTAAGCACTGTGTTTTTTTTATTATAGAGTATTTATATGTATTTGTATACGATCGCTCGCTCGTACAAACTTAAATTATATATATACGTATTTAAATTTAAAATAAAGTGGAGACTACACAAAAGCTCCTTCAATAATATTAGAAACACAAATCAGACATCCCTATCTTTGGCATTTAAAAGAAACAAATAAAACACCAAAAGTAAAATGGAAAATAATAAATAGAACAAGAACTTGTAAAACCTGGGATAACCCATGCCCTTTATGCCTACATGAAAAACTACACATTATTAAGTTTCTAAAAAACGAAAATTTATTAAATCAAAGAAATGAGATAACGGTTTTTTGCGACACCATCAAATATTCGCCTTTAATTAAAAATTTCAAAATCTACTAAAAAGTTCGATTAAAGAAATATGTTTAAAAACACAACCCAATCATAATCTTAAAGCACCTTTAAGAAAAAACAAATAAATAAACACCAAAAACTACCGGAGCTACAACATCAATCAGTTAAAGTCTTAGCATACAGTAATAAAAAACAAACAAAAAACAACAGAACTACTACATCAATCAGTTTGAATTTTAGCACGAAATCTGATGACATTAGCCATTGTAGCCAGACAAAAAACCCCAACCCAGCATTACACAACTCCAAAAACTTGACATATCACAAACTCTTAAACTTATATATATATATATATATATATATATATTTAAATTTATAATAAGATGAAGACTACACAAAAGCTCCTTCAATAATATTAGAAACACAAATCAGACATCCTATCTTAATATTTTGGGCATTTGAAAAAACAAATAAAATACCAAAAGTAAAATGGAAAATAATAAATAAAAAATAAATAATAAATAATATATACTTCCATCAAAGCAGTGACCCCTTGATAAAGAAAAAAGCAAACCCTAGACCACACTTCCATTTCAAAACTATAAATGAGTAAAAGATTCCGTACCATAGTTATTCCAAAACAACGCTTGAGGATGAAACTGCCACCCAGTGATTAAGGTTTAATATTGGAAATAAACTTAAACACTGCTGACTAGTTTCGAAACAGTAATTTCTGTGTCGCGATGAAATCATATTTTTAATAAAAAAAGATAATTATAATCTAGGCTTTACTTTTGTATCGAGCACTGTTTTTAAAAATAAAAACAAAAATACTAAAGAACTTCGAATCATCAATCTTTCCTCTTATATCAATATACATACACATATATATATATATATATATATATATATATATATATATATATATATATATATGCGAATATTATTAGAAAAACAAGGAAGAGAGAAACTGCAGACAAGGACATAAGTAGGATGTTTTGCATCTATTTACATAACCTGTCTATCTATTCGCACACACACACACACACACAGAGAGAGAGAGAGAGAGAGAGACAGACAGACACACACATATATATATATAATTAAATGTAGGGGAGAGATAGTGGGGAACTAAGTCAATTCTCATTAGTGAATATTTATTGATTTATTGATGAAATTCAAGTATGTGAATATTGGTCGCCCCCACGCAGGCATCGTATGCTGTGTAAATGTAGAAGTCTTTTCGAAACAAATAGATACAGTGGATGCTGATAAGTTTTCGGCCCAGCCAAGAAGGTATTCCCCACACGATTCAGTTAGAATTTTGATAAGTGGGTTGGTTTAAGAACATTCACGTACATTTTCATATATATATATATATATATATATATATATATATATATATATATATATATATATATATATATATATATATATATATCTGTGTGTGTGTGTGTATATGTGTGTGCGTGTGTGTGTGTGTGTGTGTTTTTAAAAACAATACGCTAGATTTAGCTGACTCATTCCGTCGAGTGAATATCGCTCAGTGGTAGAAGCTCTGACTGACACCGAATCAGTTGGGTTTCGATCCGGGCTTGTGGCATTCGGTTGTCTAGTCGCACTGAGGAGCGGTGATATAGCGAAATAGTACTTTCTGGAGATGACATATATATATATATATATATATATATTATTAACTGAAAAAAATTTTTACTATGTTACTTCAAAATTGAATAAGAATAAACCAAAATAAATAAATAAAATAAAATAAATAAACCAAAATATGTCAAATACGAACACCACATTGAAACGCTGATTCTCGTAAGATCACCAAAGTTAAGCAACATCGAGCCTGGTCAGTACTTAGATGGGTGACCACTTGGGAATACCAGGTGCTGTAAGCTTGAATGCTCGGCTGGTGTAATGAATAACGGATCAGAATTAGAGCTCAGAGGGCCGAGTTCAAATTCCGATCGGTCTCGTAAATATTCACTAACCCGCAAATACTCTTGCGAAAGGTCTTATCTCCCCAGCTATGGGTTAATTAGTAGTACTTGAATCAGTAAATCATTATTATCTTCAAAATTCTTACAATTTTAACATATTTTCTGGCTTAAATAACCTATAAAAGTTGATAAACCGTAAATAACAAATCAACCAATATATCACTGATTAGTACACAATCGCTAGGCTCATTAACCATTACGTATATTTAATAAATAGTAATCTAGTCTGATACAAAGCCATGTATCTGGGCATGTACAGTGTCGAACACATTACAATATTAATGGCCTGTTGTACAATTTTTCTATTTTTCTAGCCGCTGTATTACATGTAGATGCCTTAACCTTTGTGTTACTCGTTAAATAAATATTTACTTATATGGAAGGTTTTTCCACAGAAAATATTACTGAAGCCAGTAGAATGCTACATAAGTCTGAGTTGTGGACAGGACTAAACCTTATTTTTCATCTCATCAAATATTTTATTTCATGTCCTGCTGAGAATCTATTTTTATACAACAATTTTCTCTCTTCATTTCGACAAAACATGATGAGAATTCTGCCAAAGACCAATGTGCATATCTAGTATCTCTGTATGACACAAACTCAGGATCGCCAAACTGTGGTGTGGTTTACGGTATATCAACCTGAATGGATTATTTAATGCCGACAAGATTTTTATTGCTGGTAATATTTTTTTTCAAGAATGTATTGCTGGTAATATTCAATATCTAGATATATATTGTCTAGTTCTTCTTAGGGTACTGTTCAGTTATTGCTCACTGTTTCTACTGATTCCAAGTACGCGACTCAGGGATTGAACTCACAGTTACTATATCACCAAATTCAGGAACCAATGTTTTAATCTGCAAGACGATTATCCGAAAAGCCCACTGAATTCGGTGATAGCAACAACAAAGACAAGGAAAATAGGCCGCATGTCAATAATATAAATAATAACTCCTCATCCCAGAAACAATAATAATAATAATAAAAATAATAATAATTCTTTATCTTCTTCTTCCGTTTCTTCTTCTTCTTTATCTTCTTCTTCTTTATCTTCTTCTTCTTCCGTTTCTTCTTCCGTTTCTTCTTCTTCTTCTTCTTCTTCTTCTTCTTCTTCTTCTTCTTCTTCCTCCGTTTCTTCTTCTTCTTCATCTTCTTCTTCTTCCGTTTCTTCTTCTTCTTCTTCTCCTTCTTCTGTTTCTTCTTCTTCTTCTTCTTCTTCTTCTTCTTCTTCTTCTTCTTCTTCTTCTTCTCCTTCCGTTTCTTCTTCTTCCGTTTCTTCTTCTTCTTTATCTTCTTCTTCTTCTTCTTCTTCATCTTCTTCTTCCGTTTCTTCTTCTTCCGTTTCTTCTTCTTTATCTTCTTCTTCTTCCGTTTCTTCTTCTTCTTCTTCTTCTTCTTCTTCTTCTTCTTCTTTATCTTCTTCTTCTTCCGTTTCTTCTTCTTCTTCTTCCGTTTCTTCTTCTTCTTCTTCTTCTTCTTCTTCTTCTTCTTCTTCTTCTTCTTCTTTATAACCTCCTCCTCCCTTTCTGTTACACCAAACGTCGTGTGTTTGTTTATTTATTTTTGAAAATAATAATGTACCGTTCTTTAGTTTAAAAAAAAAACAAAAAAAAAACAAACTAAAAGAGCGGTAAAAGGTCATTTGATAAAAATCGCCTGAAGATACCGTAAAATTGAAACCGGGAAGCGGATTCAACTTACCTCCTGATTTATTTTTACTTTTGTTTTTTCACACGTGTATTGAGCACTTTTTAATAATACTGTTTCCTGGTCTGATTCAACTGTGACCATTAACCTTTTATGTATTATACCCATATATATGCACACGTATATATGCACACATATATATATATATATATATATATATATATATATATATATATATATATATATATATATATATATATATACATGAATCATTCATACAAAAACAGATATAGAAGTTAATGAATTCATGTAATGTAAAATGAACTACACCACATATTTGATATATATATATATATATATATATATATATATATATATATATACATATACACGCACACACACATATATATACACTGACATATATACACGCACATATATATACAAACACATACACACACACACGCACATATATATGCAATGAATAGATTGTCGTTTAAATTACGCGAAAATGAATATAATACTGACATCTCATTATTACAGATATAATTACCAAAAACATACAACTATCTTAAAATACTAAAAACTAAATACATGCAGTAAAATCGCAATTGTCTTTAACCACAGCTTCTAGACGGCTTTGGAATCTCCTGCTACTCTTCGAGACGGTCTCCTTGTTTAAGTTGGTGAATGCTACCTTTAGTTCATCTTTGGTTTTACAAGGAGTTTTGTTGATCTCTTGCTCAACTGTGCCCCACACATAATAATCAATTTGCAGTCTGAGAAGTTAGGTGGCCAGATATAATGGATGATGCTTACAGAGACTGTCTGACAGTCATAAATGGGTTCTCCTGCTTGTGTGACATGGTGCATAGTCCTGTTGCCAGACATAGGGCCTTCCAGCAGACACCCTCTTGGCCCAGAGCAACACTACCTCCTAAAGGCACTTGATGTAGGCCTCCATGTTGAGTCTGAGGCCCTCACCAACAGATTCGGAAGTTCTTTTCTTATCATAATGATCAGAGTGCGTTTTCCGAATTGTCGTACATTCATAATTGCCATTAGAATCATCCGTTTCTGAATCCTCTGCATTGTCTTTAGATTAACACCCCAAAACTTTGAAATGTTTGTTTTGTATCTTCCGAGTTTGCCGTTTCCAAATTTCTTGCGGAGTGAATTGAGTCATGGTGCTCTTTTTCTCACAGACGGTAGCCAATTGTACAGTCCACAAAACCAAAACCAAACAACGCGCATGCGCGAAATTACAAATATAAAATTGTGACAATTTACCCATCGCACTGTGTGTGTGTGTGTGTGTGTGTGTGTGTGTGTGTGTGTGTGTGTGTGTGTGTGTGTGAAGTTGAATATATGTTGTGCGTGTCAATTCTCTCCCTGTCCATTTTCTGCTCGTTTTAATAAATATGTATTTTTATGATATTAATTGAATTCTGCACATCCAACTCTACATCTTTCTGATCATAGCTCAATTAGATCTCATGTAAATATTCATGGAGACCTACCGGACAATATTCGTAACATACTTGTCGACAACACTAATATAATAGCATCATCTACATGCAAAAAAAGATTAAAATAATGGAAGCCTTATTAATAAAAACAAACATACCAACATTATTAGGGAGAGAACACAATAAAGGAACACGAATAAGTAAAGAGAAGATAACGATCAAACTTGACTGAAATGCAAGAAGCCGGAAGAGATTTCCGCAAGCGCGAAAGAATAATCTGTTAGGCTAGAAATTACTCATCCATCTAAATATTCCAGTATTTACCAAGGGTAAAATGATGGGACCTAGCTGCCAATCTTGTACTGCGCTTAAATTCATAAAATCTAGATACCAAAGAGGAAAGCTTTTCAGGACAATTACCATGAAAATAGTGCGCAACTCTTTTATTTCGATAATCGAGCTCTGAAGAGAGAAGAATCTGTCATTTTCTGTTTGTATTTTCCTCCATTTTTTCTTCGTTTTTTTTCCTTTTGCTTCGAATTTCCATTTGTAGTAATTGCATCTTCTCTCCTTGTCCATTTTCTGCTCGTTTTAATAAATATGTATTTTTATGATATTAATTGAATTTTGCACATCCAAGAAGATCGTTAACAGAGACAATTAAATTCTAGGAAATCAGCTAATGGAGATTTCTGAAAAAACTCTACAGAAGAGAAATGGAAAGATTTGCAATGTTCTTGAAATAAAATAGTTTGAGTAAATTATTTTAGAAGCTATGAATGTAATCAAAAGATTTTTATCATCATTATTATTATTATTATTATTAGTAGTAGTAGTAGTAGTAGTAGTAGTAGTAGTAGTAGTAGTATTTCCTTTGATTTCTGTCGTTTACACATTTCTTTCCGGGTCCCACCCAGGGACCTAAGGTTAGAAATGGCATCATGACAATTTCCACTGACAAAAAAAAAATTACATAGATAAAGCCCTTCGTAAAGTGTGGGCTGTACTTGTCAGAACAATTTTTTGATCTCCTTGAGGCATGGACTTCCAGGAATCCCTTCAATTAGTCTACTGCAATTATTATTATTATTATTATTATTATTATTATTATTATTATTATTTAGATCTCATATAAAAACAAAACAAAATTATTATTTCGAATGCGAATTTTCCAGACATCCTCCAAGGCGCTTCTTTTTTTGAAGATTGGCGCGATATAATCAATCTACCTGCATCTTTTACCATTTCGCCTTCGACTGTACAAAGCAAGGCTCAGTGAATATCGATTCCAAGATAATTTCTAGTGCCTACAACACCATTTGCCAAATGATATAACGGAACGGTCACAAGTCAGGGACGAGGCTAAGATGTGGAAAGCAAATCAAGTATAAACACCACGTTTGCCTAACAACACACCGCTTATGGTTTGTCCACAGACAAACGTACACCGGTGACTAGCCTAAAGCCAACATCCCGAAATATCGATCCACGATATGATTGGTTGCCAGTATTGTACTTTTATGTTATAAATTTTATGTGTATTGTTGGCAGGCCGAATGATTAGTGATGTGTAACCTGTGTTGGGATTTTTTTTTTTTTTTTTTTTTTTTTTTTTTTTTTGGTGGGGGTTGTGATCCTTCACTCGATACAGAATACAAGGATTGGATTTAGCATTTGTATTGCTAAATTTCTGATATCTCAGCCTGAAAATGGAATTATTATCCAGTTATTTTTCCTGTATTTTTTCTTTAGCTTTTATTTATTTACGATGAGTGAA